GTAGGTGATGCGCGTGTGGACAGCGTTGGTTTAAGGACTTGTAAACAGTAGAACTTGATTAAAAATATTTATTTTTACTGTTGCAATATTTCCAATTTAAAAAATGCATTTAGTAGTTGCACTTTTTCCTGAAACATCCAAATGTTGTAGGACAATTTATTATATTTTATTTTTTTAAGTACTTTGTGTACTCTACTGTATACTGTGTACATACATTGACACAAACTCACAGAGAAGTTCCAAGATGCCACAAAAGGGGGACTGAACAAGTTAAGTGATGTTCCTGTTGACTGGAATATATCAGACATTTTAAATTTTAATTAGCATATTCACAAGAGAGTAGCTTTTATCATATTTCCAGCCAGACAATATTTTTTTTCTATTTGCTGCACTTGCACTCTTGTTTGCTGTGTAAATGTTTGTCTCTGTCACACCCAATTAGGCCTCATATTTAATTTTTAAATTTTAAATTATTATTTGTTTGAGCGTCTTTGGGAGGATTGTTGTGATGCGTGTGTTACTCCAAGCTGGAAAAGTAAAAACAAACATGCGTTACAAGAGGTCATAAAAGGTTACATGACTAAACTTGACACGTTGAGCTATTCTGTAGTTTGAGATAATTGAAGAAATTTAACAATGATGTCACGTTGATTCAGACAATATTATTAGATATTACATTTTAATTTTTTTTAATTTATTTTTGTTGATCAGTTAAGCCCTCAGATTGACAAGATAGATGTGGGGGTTTGATAAATCTGAAATTTATGATTCATACCAGTCTTGGTTGATGACGCCTCTAGGCCTTAGTCATTATAATTTCTACAAGAAGTAGAAATAGACTTGAATAAAATGTTCGACTGGTTTTAGAAAATCAAAATGGCGTAAACATGAAAAAAAGCAACAACTTTAAAACTGGATTATTTACAGTATATTGTGTACAACTGTAAAATACATTGCCTGGCCAAAAAAAAAAGTTGCCTCCTGAATTTAACTAAGCCAATAGGTACAAGCCTCCTGTTGGATGATTACTGCATGGGCGATTACCTTTCAGCTGGCAACAAATTATTTAACCCCAACTGGTGCAATGAGTTGCTTCTCACTTCTTAAACAACCATGTTGAAAGACGCATCGCGTGATCATGGAAAAGATGTCAGTCTGTTGGAGAAGGGTCAAATCATTGGCATCAAGCAGAGAAAACATCTAAGGAGATTGTAGAAACTACTAAAATTGGGCTAAGAACTGTCCAACGCATTATTAAAAACTGGAAGGATAGTGGAAACCCATCGTCTTCAAGGAAGAAATGTGGCTGGAAAAAAATGTGGCCTACTGTACAAGCCTGTGGAGGCAGTGCTATGATCTGGGGTTGCTGCAGTTGGTCAGGTTTAGGTTCAGCAACAGTATGTGCTCAAAAAATGAGGTCAGCTGACTACCTGAATATACTGAATGACCAGGTTATTCCATCAATGGAATATTTTCTTCCCTGATGGCATGGCATATTCCAAGATGACAATGCCAGGATTCATCGGGCTCAAATTGTGAAAGAGTAGTTCTGGGAGCATAAGACATCATTTTCACACATGGATTGGCCACCACAGAGTCCAGACCTTAACCCCATTGACGATCTTTGGGATGTGCTGGAGAAGGCTTTGTGGAGCGGTCAGAATCTGTCATCATCAATGCAAGATCTTGGTGAAAATGAATGCAACACTGGAAGGAAATGGATCTCAAACTCATGAAGAAACTCATTGAAACAATGCCACAGCGAATGCATGCTGTAATCAAAGCTAAAGGCGGTCCAACGAAATATTAGTGTGACCTTTTTTTTTTCTTTTTTTTTGGTGGCGACCTTTTTTTTTTGGCCAGGCAGTGTAGTTAGTGCTGTGTTGAAACTAGGTTTTTCTAGACCAAGTACAAGAATTTGTTTGGGTACCAATATCGAGTGTTTGAATTAGTACTTAAACATAACACAATAACTTTAGGAACAATTATTTTTTTAAATTTAGAACACAATAATCAGTCAGTCCTATCTTAAAATATCTTCAAAATACAGACACTTTTTTTGTGCCTTCGTTTACTTTTGCAGTGAAAGGATAGTCACCAAGCATAAATATGGTATTGGTTAGAAGTATTGTTGTTTTTATGAGTACAATTACAAGTTTTTGAGGCTGGTGTCAGGCAACACTAAATATAATAACATTTTGGTTTATTACTTTGTCTTTTATACAGTCTTTTTCTTTTTTCTTTTTTTTTTTAACCTTTGTCAGCAACCACATAAACATTTCTGCCCAGTCTCATTTAGGCTGATCGTTTTTGTCACCCCTTTTTATTCTTCTTGATACAAGTTGGAAGCAGTCTTTCAAAATTAGTTCTCATGCTGAACAAAATCTTTTGGTTACTCTTGTCTTTTTCCTCAACAGGGTTGCCGGATCCTTTTGCTAAAGTAGTGGTGGATGGTTCTGGACAATGTCACTCTACAGACACTGTCAGAAATACTCTTGACCCAAAGTGGAATCAACATTATGATCTGTAAGTACACAACAACACGGATGGAGTGTGGCATGTTGCTGAATGTCCTTTATGCCTCATCAAGAAGAGTTCAGTCCTTGTTGCAAGCTAGTATTGAAATATGTACAGAGCAAGTTTTCATATGTTTTTGTTTTGTTTTCTTTACTCATCATAATATATAGAATATCCATCTGTGGCAAAGCAGAAACATGTCCATTCTGGTTGAGGTTGAACATTGTGACCACGAATAAAAAGACATTTAAACTTTTTAAATTAAGGTCATGCCAAATTTTCTATAATTATTTTCAAAAAGTCTAAAACATTGCTGCATAATAATTTAAATGGATAATTTCAATACTTGCAAATACTATAAATGACCTTTTAATTTTAGTTTTACCCAAACACTTCTAAAACCATTTTGCACAGAGTTCTTATGTATAGACTGAAGAGGAAAATATTGATTCTAAGCCTAAAAAAAAAAGGAAAATTGAAAGATTTTTACAATTTACTATGCAAGTAATGGATTTTAAATTTATAGATTGCGGCAAAATTATACACTGCATCATAATTTATTCTGGTGAACTGAACATTGAAGATGTTTCTGCCATTTTAAATCATTTGTGTGGCAGCAGTTTCAACTGTTGGACACTATCAGCCCGGCCTCCCCGTCCTCATCCTGACTCTGCTATGTGCCAAGAAGAAGAGTCTCTGTGGGGCATTATTAAAATAGAATACATTTACATTCAATGTTTAATTTTCATGCTGGTTTATCAACTTTGAATGTTAAACAATTAGATTTGAACCCCATGTTTAGCAGTTCGAGTAAAAAAAAAAAAAAAAACCTCCTCCCCTCACTTTCCATCCATACATCCATACATCCATCCATACATATCTATACATCAATCCATACATATCTATACATCCATCCATACATATCTATACATCCATCCATACATATCCATCCATCCATACATACATATCCATACAT